AAACACCCAACTTTTGTTTTTGTGATGTGTATTTAACTAACATCATGAACACATTTCTGGCTGGCCACTTTTGTCCTTTGGGACTAGGAAAAAATTTAATTCTGTTCACACCCTTAAACATCAAATAGGTAATGGTGATGTATATTGTCCTATGATTTGTTTTAAATTTATGTCAAAACACTGAGTCCAACTGAGATGTAAAAATAAAAATGATGGGCCAGCCACACAGGCACATTGGTGGTGCAACATCCTTGTCGCAGAGACCAATGGGCTGAGGGGTTCCTGGGTTCACATCCTGGCATCACCTTGTACGTGCCAGGCATACATGGGGGTGCCCGTGATTCTGGATGGCTAAGGCTGGGGGGTGGATCACAGGGTGAAGCAGATCTCTCTCTCTCATTCTCTCACGGAAGAAGTAAATAGGTGAACTTTAAAAAAAATAGAAAAGTAGAAAAGATGACTGATACTTTTCTTAGGATACTAGCCTTTGTCATCTGAAGAGAGTGAGGTGTTTATGTATAGGCAAGGTAGACATTGGACCCTCAGTTACACTGAGTTGTGATATATTACTAAACTGATATTTGAATATATGCATCAGCAGTAGAACTAGGCTTCAGCACAGGGCGTTTCATTGTCTCCCAAAAATGGTTGTATAGAGAGCAGTATATAAAAATCTTTGCAAGAGGTATTTTTATAAGGAAATAGTCACTGTTATCCACTCAGGAACATTTACAACACATTAACGATTCATGTAATATGTGCGGGGCTTTATTACATTTTAAGAATACAGAACTAAGTTAGTTCTCCCATTAATATAGTAGAATAGATACTTAATTAAATCTCTCCTAGTACAGTATATCTAAAACTCCTGGGAAAGCATTAAGGAAAGTTTTAATGCATGGTGGAGCTGGTAGAACATTGAGAATTCTTCCAAGAAAGTTCCGATCTATGAGACAAGGCGGGCACGTGTACTTTCTAGGATGAACAAACAACCACAGCCCGTCTGGAGCTGTATTAAGCCCAGGGATGATATAACACAAGATCTTGCTCCCATGGGGTGAGAGAGGACCTTCTGCATAAAATAAAACCCCTGGCTTCCATCTTCAGTACTTTAACTATAGGAAAATGAATAAACAAAAAACCTTACATACTAAGACAGTGGACATATTTTACTTTCTCACCTTGAGACAAGAGGATAAATAAATAGCTTGCCTTTAAGAATAACTAAGAGTAAGACCAGCAGTTGGCTTAATGGTTACGTCACTAGACTCCCATGTAGTCAACTCTGGTTCAAGCCCCAGACCTAGCAACTTAAAACTCACACCGGGCATGTGTGTGTGTCTGCCCAAGACCCCAAGAGGAGGATGGAGGAGAAGGGATTGTGACATGGCCATCCCCCCTAGGGAATGATGTCTCACTTTCTGTCTCTTTCTGTCTCTCCAGTGAGCATACGTGCCCTATAGCAAAAATCTCTCTTAAAAAAAAAAAAAAGAATTAGTATCAGCACTCATGAGATTATACACGTTTTTATATTAATTTTATAGTTCAAATTTTATTTTAGAATTATTTAATTTTATTCATTCTTATTATTTTATTTTTTTTGAAGTTGACCAGAAAGAGACAGAGGGGGAGAAGGAAAGGGAGAAAGCAAGCTGCCAGGTCCAGGACTCAAACTGCAGTCAGCTGTGGGAGTCCAGCCTTAACCACCACACCACCTGTCAGCCCCTGTATAGTTCAGATTTTAAATATGGTTTAACAGGGCATGGTTGATTTATTCCCAATATGTGGGGAAGCAAATTTAAAATTTTAGAACAATGATCTTTTCACCCAGCCTCAAAGAATTCACCAATATAGAAGCCCAAAGAATGTGACTTCCTAAGTAGAAAATTCACCAACTATTGCCTGTGGGGAATGTGGTGACACATTTTTGCACAGAGAAACATAGAAAAATATATCATGACTTTCTCAGTGACCTAATACATGGGGAAAAACATCACCATGAAAACAGCAGGAGCAAACATAATAGAATTAGATTCATATGTATTTAAGTTGTTAAATATAATTTATATGTAGAAAGAATTAATATTTTAAAAACGAAAACTTTCAAGGAAAAGAGATTGTCAGAATTAACCAAGCAGATCTGAAAAAGAGCAAAAAGAACTTCAGAATATAGGGTAAGTGAAATGCACAACTGAACAAGTTTCATAGAATACAGCTCAGAGGGAGATTATGAGAAGTCTAGAGAAGAGATTAACCAGTAACATAGTACAGAATGTCCTAATATATGCTTCACTGGGATTCTGAAAGGAAGGACTAGAGAATAATGGAAAGTTTTCAGAGATAATAGCTAAGAATTCTGAGAAATTAAACATTCAAATACAGGTTTAAAAATTACAAGGACAATTTTTTAAAGAAGTTCATACATAAAACATCTCAGTGAACCTGCAGAATAGCAAAGTCAAAGAGAAGATCTGAAAAGCATCCAGAGAGAATGGATTTCCCAGATGACTGATTTCTTACCAGAAACAATGGATGCTAGAAGATAGTGGAATAACATCTTTGAAGTGGTATTATTAATCCAGAATTCTATACCCAGTGAAATTATTTTTCAAGAACAGTGAAACATAGTCATCTTCTGAAATTACCAAAAGACTTGACCAACAAAAGACTCTCTGAGAGTACATTTACAAAATGTTCTTTGGAAAAAAAAAAATCAGTGATTTCAGATGACAGTATGAGCTAAAAAAAAAAAGCAAATAATGTATTTGTAAATCTAATCAAACCTTGAGTGTTGAAAGTAGTAACAGCAATGGGTCATTTCTAGGGTTAAAAAATCCCAGGTGTAATTATAATCATAGGAGGCTCAAACATGGGAATGAAAGTTCAGTAATCGGAGTTAAAACATTCTAAAGTCTTTATTCTTTGGAAATAAAAGGGAAAAGGTATTGATGACTACACTTTGTACCATTAGGTATCTATGATCATATACCTAGGACTTCCACTATGTAATAGAATATATAACAGCCAAACTGATACAGGAAAAAAACATGGACATGAACATAAAGGTATTAATAAACACAGTTACTGTAAATGAACATACTCATTAGTTAAAGACAGTTAGCCTAGCTTCAAAAAATATCGTTTTATCCTATTTAAGAGAACATAGATTTTTTGTTGTTGTTGTTTGGAGAGGCTTTTGCTATAGGGTGCATGCGTTGACCGGAAAGACAGAGAGAGACAGAGAGACAGAAAGTGAGAAATCCCCCCCCAGGGGAGATGGGCATGCTGCAGTCCCTTCTCCTCCATTCTCCTCTTGGGATCTTGGGCATACACACACACACACCTGGCATGAGTTTAAGCTACCGGGTCCAGGACTTGAACCTTGGTCAACTACATGGGAGTTCAGCAACATAGCCATTATGCTAACTGCTGGTCCCAAGAACATAGAATATTTGAAAGTACTCATAGTAAAATAATATACTAGTTAAATATTAACCAGGTAAGTTTTTTTTTAATAATGCAAGAGCCATAGAGTGTTACTGCAAATTAATAAATGGTTTCCTTAATTAGGAAGATTAATATTTCCACTTTAAGTAAACAGAATTGACAGTACTTCAAAGAACATTACAAACCACAGGGTAATAAACAAGCTTGACATAATAGCCATGTAAAAAGCAATTGGAGAATATACATCATTTTTCAGCACATGGAACAGTTATTAACATTGATCACTAACTTAGCCATTGTGTCTCACAGAATGCAAAGAATTGGTTCATAGAAATTGTCTTTTATCACAGAATAATCAAATTAATTGATATCAAAAAGAAAACTACCCATATACATTTGAAAATATGAAAACAAGTAACCCAAAGGCCAAAAAATACACTAGAGTTGAAATTTAAAATAGATATGTTGTGGTATAGTAGCACTTGGCGTTAATTAATAATAGATACAATTAAGTATAAGAACAATGCATTCACTAAGGGAATTGCACATTTAGTAAAAATAACTTACATCATGAGATCATGCATTAAGAGCATAATGAAGAATCATAGATAATAATTGTTAGCTTCAGGGGAACTTTAGTAGCTGAGTTGAAGATTACAAAAGAAATTACTTTTCTCTTAAAAATTGATCATTTTTTCCAATATGATATACCCAATACCAGAAGGGAAATAGGATTACGAGTACACTAGTATTAAATACTGTGGATGATAATCCGAAATTGCCCTAAATAAGATTGTAATGTTCCAGATAACAAACTTAGACACATACTTTCCTACAGATATGACAGAAAAAGCAGTAAGAAATTTGGGCCAAGAGCATGAAAAAGTTATTCACAAAGCAAGAAGTACAAGCAACTAATAAATACTTGAAAAAGACGTTCAACATCAAATATAGTTGGAATGGGAAGAAGGAAGCAATTGTGACATAATGCTTTTGATTTCAGATTGACAAGGATGAAACAGAAAAATTCATTCGTTAGGGGTTTGTGTGCATAAGGTTTATCCAGATTTTCTTTGTTTTTCAACTTGGCTAATGTTCTTTCTCTTTTTTTCTTTCTTTTCTTTCTTTTTTTTTGGGGGGGGGCATATAGAAAAAGCTTGATTTAATTAAAGTTAAGTAAAATTAAAAAGCGAAATGAGGTCACATTAGCCACATTTCAAGTTCTCAGTAGCCACAGATGGTTGGTGTCTACCATATTGGTCAGCAGAAGTTTGGAGAATGCAAAATACAGTTTGGCTTTACTTTGGACAAGATTTTCTAATTGGGAAAGCAAGATATCAAAAATAAGCATATCAAGAATATAATCCAAAACAATGTCATTATGTGGTAAAATTTGTCATGGCCAGACTATGTGATTCTGGGTGGGAAGTTCTGGAAACACCCACAGCTGGATACATTCTCATCACTTGGAAGTCTGAGTGGTGGCAATGAGAGTTGAGTTTGTGAGAATGAAGTGTCCTACTTTAGAAAGTGTGTGTGTGTTCTGCCCGCAGGCATGGGACCCGCTGTGCTGGAGAAGTGGCCGCTGCTGCAAACAACTCTCACTGCACAGTAGGAATTGCTTTCAACGCCAAGATTGGAGGTATGGAAAACAAACTTACCAGGACAGATGTGCAAATAAACCACTTAGCTCAACTGGTTTCTAGGACCTCTTTTCAACTTGATAAGTTTATCTTTGCACAATAGTGTTCCACTATTGCTGATAGCAAAACAACAGTGTTAACATGTATTGTTAAACAGGAAGACTTCTTAAAGGATACCTTGAAAGTGTTGCGCACATATTTACTTTAAACAGACTTGAAAATATGTCATCCGGTAGAGAAGACGGGTCATTGACATTCCGTACTAAAACTATACCATTGATATTGCTGTCAAAGAAGCATTTTGAAATTCTCTCTAAACAGAAAATCCCTTTTTCTCTTTTGCATAGGCTTTATAAAAAGTTCCTTTTAATTATGATTAAAGTGGTAAATCATAAAATACCCTTTTGTGATACTGTAATGCCATGATACTATTTCCATGAATTATTCCAGAATATATCTACAATGGATCTTTAAAGAGTTCATGGAAAATACATATGAAAAAACTATGCATTGATTTCAAAGTTTTTGCATCAAAATAAACCTGTACATTAATTTTGTTTGTTTGTTTAGGTTTTTGCCATAGGGTGTGTGCACTTGTGTGAGAAAGAGCGAAGACAGAGAGAGGGAAAGTGAGAAATCACCCCAGAGGCGAATGACTGTGCTGCAATCCTTTCTCCTCTAGTCTCTCCTTGGGATTTTGGACATGCATGCACATGTGCCCAGCATGATTTTCAAGCTGTCAAATCCAGGACTTGAACCACAGTTGGCCATGTGAGATTTCAGTGCTTACCCTTAATTTAATTTTCTACACACTTTCTCTAGTCCCCTCATATATGTATCCACATTAATGTGTGGATACATATATGCAGCTCAAATATGCATATATTTACTATAAGGATCCAGTGAAACCAGTATAAAACTTAACATTGATAAAAAGCAAGTCTTTCTCATTTATAATTATCTTTGTAAGCAAAAGATTGGTATCATAGTCGTACACAAACGGGAAGAAATCATTATAATAGAGTCCATGGATCCTAATGACTTTATCATCATGCCTGGTCTGAAGGTGTTCCTTAGAGGTCTCCTAAATGGTATCATAAAATGAATGAAGCTTTCAGAACTAGGCTGACCTCATTTGTAATGCACTGTGTTTGAAAGTGGTAAATAGAGTTAGAAGTAAAAAATAGAAATGCTGGTCCTTTCTAGAATCAGAGTATAAATACAGACCAACCCGTAAACATGAAATAATTCAGTATGTATAATCAACGTACTAAGAAAAGGTTTCAGAAGCTACTTTAAATGAATGTCAGGCCATGGTAAATTTGACCTCTTTCTTTCCTTTATTTTACCCTGAATTCCTAGAGTATGACAGTTGTTTGACTAGTAACTGTTGTACTCAGGGTGCATCTGCTAAGTGTCAAGGGGAATATGTACAGAGGCGCTGAGGAAAGGAGACAAAGGATTTTCTCTGGAGAAGAATGAGGATGCTGAAGCCCCCTGCTCTTCCCAAGAGACTCAGATGGACTCTTCTCCTAGTCCAGGGCAGTCTATCACGTATCCAGACACACATCCCAGATGCCTATCCTTACTGTCCGACACAAGCCCAGCCCTCTTGAAGGAATTTGAGGATGAACTGGAAAACTAGCTTTGTGAGGAGGGAACATAATGAATGCATGGTGATGACTCAAACATAGTCTAAAACAAGAACCTTCTGAATTACAGACTAACCCCCAGACCCAAGACATAAAGACTTGGAGTTAAGTGAGGGAAAAAGACTTTGACCTTTAAACTTAATCCCATGAAATTTTTATTTGTGAAATTGTGGTCAGAAAATTAATGTTACCTTCTAGTCATGATTTAGTGAGCCTTTTTTTTTTTCCTCATAAGCTTTGCATAAGTTGCACAACGTAGAAACTGACTGAGGTTTGTCAGTGAGCTCATAATGGCATTTAGACAAACTGCTAAGGTTATTCTGGGCAGTAAATAGTGTTTATTGTAGACTTCACTGTGCTGGTAAAATAGTTTCATTTTATGCTTTTAAACAGAAAGTAAGAAGATTAAATAGTTCATCTTTCTTTACTAAAAAACATGCAGATGAATTCTGAATATTGATAACAAAAAAAGCCAACGGCTATTCAGGACCCAGTACTACAAAGAATTATGCTGGTTTTTCTACTTGTACAAAATAAACCACTGACAAACTTTGTAAGTACAGTTTTACTCCATAATTTTGAAAGGGACTGTTCACAACCTTCATTTGCTACATCACCTGGTAATATACATCTCTAAAAATCTAGAAATCTAGAGGGAAAGACAGTAAGAGACATAGAAACCAAATGCAATGCCTTTAGAAATATTTGGGGGAAATTTAACGTTGGATGACTATTAAATGACTCCAGTAAGAACTTATTTCCATAATTTTTGTATAAAAATGTAAAGAATAGAGTATTATACTTGTCATATAATTTAAAATAGTCTAACCTAATATTTATATTTTTAGATCAATAAAATGAAGCACAATGTTTATGGTTATTAACTACTGGCTGTATATATGTTCATTGTTAATTCTATTATTTTTTTTTTGTTATTTGAAAATTTTATAGTTAAATAGTTTTTTAAAGGCAAAATGAATGTGCAGGGCTAACTGTTGTGGTCCATTAGGTGGCTGGATCCCACATGACCAACTATGCAGTTGAATCCTGGACTCAGTGTTCTGAGATGCACAGTGTGTGTGTGTGTGTGTGTGTGTGTGTGTGTGTGTATACATGTACATATATGCCAAAATCCTGAAGGGGAGAATTGGAGGAGAGGGGGTTGTGATATGACCATTCCCCATGGGAAATGCCTTCTCACTTTCCCCATCTTTCTTTCTGTCTCCAATGAACACATGCACCCTCTAACAAATTTTAAAACTAAGGTAAAATTTTAAAAGAATATGTAGTTTCTTCAGGAATATTTGGGACCAGCAGATGGCATAATGGTTACATCGCTGGATTCCCACATTGCTGACCACGGTTTGAGTCCCGTACTTGTGGCTTGAAACTCACGCTGGGCCCATGTGCATGCATGCTTAAAATCCTGAGAGGAGAATGGAGGAGAAGGGATTGCAGCATGGCCATCCACCCTAGAGGGTCATTTCTTGCTTTCTATCTTTCTGTCTCTCTGGTTCTCACCAAAGCACTTGCCCTATAGCAAAAAATCAAAAAAAATTTTGTTTTAATTTTCTACTAGTATCCCTTCCTCAATGCTTATGTATTATCTAAAGCTGCCTGATTTGGGGTTTTATTATTTAATGATCAGTTATAGGCCACTAATAAAAACTTGAAATCCTACTGGATGAGGTTTTCCTAAGGAGTAAATTCAACCTGTTACTATTATGTCATTTAAAAATAATTCAATGTCTCAGAGATGGCATTTAGTTTAAGCTGAAGGAGAGGTATGTTTACTTAAAAACTAGATGTTTTATTGTTGTCGAGAGTCTCTAAAATAAAAAGAAAAACAGGAAAGCCAGTCATTTGGCATATAAATGATTTCTGAGTATCTTAGTGTCTTTTTTTTTTTTTCAAAATAGGATTAATAATGAACTCCTATCTGTCTGGATAGAAATATACTTGAATGAAGATTAATGATTAAACACTCTTCAATTCTCAGAGGGTTTTGAGAATTACTTAAAGTGTTAATGCACAGAGAACTTTCTCATTTATTATTTGACTTATAAATAACTTGGCAAAAAAGAAATGTAATAAGTTTACATCAGTTTTACAGATTAGGGGATGATAGTAAACATAAAGGAAATGAGACCAATCTCACTTGGCAGCTTTCTAGATTTCATATAACTGATAAGCTTAGAATGTTTTATACTAATTATGAGCACAAGTTGTTCAATACGAGAAATTTAGGGAAGATGAATTGCATAAGGTTCTCTGTGTCAAGTACTCACTCAAGAGAGAGATTAGGAGAAGGGAGAGACTGCTTGCTACAATGATTAAACTTTAGAAAAAGAAAACCATTGATTAAAAATATTTTTTCTCTTAATTTTTGCTGTAGGCTATGTATGTTCACTGGAAAGAGACAGAGAGAAAAAACCCTGTCCTACCCTCCAAGAGCAATGACCACAGTGCAGTCCCTTCTCTAGTCTCATCTTAGGATTTTTGGATATGCTTGCACATGTGCCTAGTATTTTATAAAGCTACTGAGTCTGGGATTTGAACCACAAAGTTGGCCATGTGGGATCTAGCTGCCCCAACTACTGTGCCACCAGCTAGCTCCTGGATAAATAAGATTTTATACAACATTTATTCTTTTACATACAACATAACTTATATTCTCCCCCAAGTTAGCTCTTGCAAAGTATACACTAACTTTGTACCAGAGAAATATGCTCAATGAAGTGTTGATTAAAAATGTATTCTTGGGAACCAGCAGTTAGCGTAATGGCTATGTCACTGGAGTCCCACATAGTCGACCGCGGTTCACATCCCGGACCCCGTGGCGTAAAACACACGCAGGGCACGTGTGCGTGCGTGCCCAAGATCCCGAGAGGAGAATGGAGGAGAAGGGATTGCGGCGTGACCATCCCCCCTGGGGGGTGATTTCTCGCTTTCTGTCTCTCTGTCTCTCTCTGTCTGTCTGGCGAGCGCATGCACCCTATAGCGAAAACCTCTCCCAAAAAAAAAAAAGTATTCTTCCCCCTCCAAAATCCGACTGGCTTATTTGAATGTTATGTAGCAAAGCCTCTGTAATGAGCTAGCCCTCTTTTCTGTTTTGAAGGAGTACGAATGCTGGATGGAGACGTCACTGACATGGTTGAAGCAAAATCAGTTAGCTTTAATCCCCAGCATGTGCACATCTATAGTGCCAGTTGGGGCCCTGACGATGATGGCAAGACTGTGGATGGACCAGCTCCTCTCACTCGACAAGCCTTTGAAAATGGTGTTAGAATGGTAGGTTTTCAAAGCACTTAGGCTCATATCATGACAATACGTGTTGATTCTCATACAAAGGATCTGGGGGTTTCCAGTGCTCTAGTCTACAGGGATGGATAGAGCTAGAGACTGAGCCAATAGATAGAATGGAAAGAAATGTTGAATATAGGATATTGATTTGTGTTCTGCCAATGAACTAAAGAGCTAGAGAATTTCCTCTTAAGAGAACAGAAGTACATTTGAATGCATAGGTTCCTTTAAAGGAAATATATTACTATGTTAATTTTATAGTTGGGTAAGTCATTTTTGGCACTTCAAGATTGAATGCAGATATTAATACTCTCCAGTTGATGTTGTTAGATCATCCAACAGTGCCTATCTGGGCAATTTCTTTTTATAGTACCTTCCCTAGTTTCACCTCTGTTTTATATTGGCTTCCCTAACTAGGCAGCTTAATCCATCACCATTACTTTGATTTTTACTTAAAAAAAAAAAAAAATCTGACCACTCTAATGTATTCCTTTAAAGGAAATATATTACTATGTTAATTTTATAGTTGGGTAAGTCATTTTTGGCACTTCAAGATTGAATGCAGATATTAATACTCTCCAGTTGATGTTGTTAGATCATCCAACAGTGCCTATCTGGGCAATTTCTTTTTATAGTACCTTCCCTAGTTTCACCTCTGTTTTATATTGGCTTCCCTAACTAGGCAGCTTAATCCATCACCATTACTTTGATTTTTACTTAAAAAAAAAAAAAAAATCTGACCACTCTAATGTACTAAGATGTCTATTTCAAAGAACACATCTTAAGAAATCCAGTCTTACTTAAACATTTTATTTCTTTTTATATTTACTTATTTGTTTATGATAAAACATGTATGCACATACATGAGAGTCACATAAGTAAGAGAGAGAGAAGCACACTTCATGGGATTTTTTTCATGCCTCAGTTGCTTTCTTCCAGTTTTCCAGCCCTTCATACTCTGGGCACTCTCACTTATGACTGACATGTTTGAGGCTGACCAGACCAAGAATTTGAACAGCAGTTGCCATGTGAGAATCTAGCTTCTCTTGAGTAGAACGTTACCACTGCACCAGGGAGCCAGCCTCTGGCTTTTAAAGTAAATAAGATGTAAAACACCAGTATTTGTAATCATGAAAGGAAGAGGGCTCCACCAGAAGCAATGTCTTTCTCTTCCTTATTTGTGAACAGATCTTTAGATTATTTAGAGCATACGTTTAGTCACGTTCACTTACGGCCAACACTGTCCCAGCCTTGATCTCCCTTTTCTTCCTCATCCTTTTTACTCCTGTGTAATGTTAGCACACCTCACTCTTCCTCAGCACTCGCTGCTTTCCCTGCTCTTAGGTGGCACCATGTCCTACTCCCAAGTTCTACCGCTACTGAACAGCTCTCACTCAACCTTTAAGCCCCAGTATAAGCTTCCCTCTTCCCAGCCTCCTTACTGCTCAAATTAGAATTAACCAAAGAAATCCTACCCGTGTTCCTTCTGTTGTATATTCTTACTGGTGTTATGTAGCATCCTGTCCTTTCCTTAGGGTGCGTTGTATCAGACTTAGATCCAAGCGTATCTTCCTCACTAAATCGTAAGTTCCTAGAGAGCAGAACTAGTGTTTTGCACCTTCTATGAGCCTTGTAAAACCTAGACAGTGTGTTGAATTCTAGTGAGTGCTCAGTAACTGTTTATTGACTCGAGTTTAGTTTATTACAAATGATGCCAACCACAGAGTTCTTAAATATTCAGCCCAGATTTGGGGCAGTGGACTGTGTTCCATCAAATATTATAGCATTGTTGTTGGATTAATAACGATGATCATTCCACATCTTTTTGGAGTCGGTGTTAGGATTTTAACCAGAAGATTGAGTTACACTACTTCCTGGTTATTCTGAAGTAGACTGGAGTGGGTATGAGTTACTAGTTTTGTAGGCACTACACACTAAGTGATAGCTCCAGTCTAGATAAGGTGTTTACCAGTTCTGTCCATTTTCAGCCACATCAGGGCCCTTTTAAACCATGGTTAATGTCTTCACTCATTGGCTAGCATTTTCCTTTCAAGGTGCCTTAAGACCAAATGAATATACTGAGTGGTCTGATGATTTCATTACCAGAGCTGAGGACTACAAATTGTTCTTCTCTCTCTCTATGTCATCATCCGAATGGCCATTCAAATAAAGTAAACCAAGTTTAAATCATGTCATAAGTGTATGGCTATTATAATAAAGAACAATCTGGAATTTCTTATTAATATGAAAATACTTATACAGGTCGAGTATCTCTAATCCAAAATACTGGTGGCCAAGAATGTTTCACATTTGGGATTTTGGGAAGATTTAGGAATATTTACACCTATTGGGTTGTCTGAAAAGTCATGATGTAGTTTGCACAGAAAATCTTAGGAAAAAAATACCTCATGACTTTTCTGACAACCCAATATATAATGAGGTAGCCTAGGGATGGAACACAAGTCTTAACATCAACTTGATTTGTTTCATATACATCTTATATATGTAACTAGAAGATCATGTTATACAGTATCTGTCATTTATTTACTTTTCCCTGACCTTATATAGATCAAATTACTTCTCCGTTTCTGTTTTCTCATCTAAAAGAGAGCAATAATAGCACTCATAAAGATGTTATGTTATCATAATATCATAAAGATGTTATGATGTTATGAGTGTCAAATGAGGTGATAATGCATATAACGCAAGGGCATAACACCTGAAATATAATAAATGCTCAATAAGTTTTTTTTTTTTTTTTCGGAGAAAAGATCATGTCCTTCAAACAACCTGTTTATATTTGTGTTTCCTTCACGTCTTTCTCTCCTATGGCATTTCTACACTGCAGAGCTCTAGATCATTCCACTGAATAACCTTTTGGGTAGATTAAAATAGTAGGGTACAGTTCAGGATATACTTCCTGAGCTCTGTAGTGTCATTGGCTTTGTTCTCCTAGGTCTATAAATGACTTCAATTTCACTTGCCCTTAAAAGCAAATCTTCAATTTCATTGAGAAAACCTCTGGATATATAAATTCATTTCAGCTATCCATGTATAGTTTTGAAAATTTTGTTTTTACTTTCCCAAAGGATGTTTCTGTAAATATCTATGAATATATAATTTAATATTTTCTAAGCACTACGTTAGATAGTCTTTTCTAAGAAAAAAAATTTAGTACTGTCTTTGTTACAGGATTCAAGTGAGATAGTGAATTTTATATTCTTTGAGATTATTCTAACTTGTATTCTTTATGTAGCACATATTGTCAAGTACATTGAAAAACTGTATCGAAAACTTTCTACAAGTTAGATTAGTAAGTGAATAAATAAATAAAGGTGTGATTTAAGAATAAATGAGTAAACGATGGATAAAATAATTTCTTCAGGGGCCATCAGTTGGCATGGTGGTTGGGGCACTGGACTCCCATATAGTTGGACATGATTCAAGTCCAGGATCTGGTGGCTTGCTTTTTCACATTGTCTCTCTCTCTCTCTCTCTCCCTCTCCTTCTCTCTCCCTTTCTGGGTGTGTATGTGTGTATCTCTCTCTGGTAAGAGCATGTGCCCAAAGCAAATTTTAAAATCATAATATATAAAATTAAATAAATCTTAAAAAAATAATGATTTCTTCAGTTTACTAACTGAAAATCAGTGCCACAGCTTAAATTCACTGTGACTTGTTGGAATGTTAACTATCATTTGCAAAATTGCAAACATTAGGATTTATTTATTCTTCCTCTTGCATTTGGTAGTATCCTACTTCCTATAGACTATAGAGAAAGGAGTGAAGAAGATACCTAAGTTTTATATATAATACATGAAAGTCCCTACATTTTAATAAGAAGATCAACAAGCAGAGGAACAATCAAGGGTATTTCAGCTGAGGATAATGGCAATGAATGAAACAAAACTAAAGGCTAGGTCAGGGCAGAACTGGTATAGTTCAGGAGGCTAGGGCATCTCTTTAAGGAAGCCATATTTGAACGGAGACATTAATGATAATGAGCCAATCACATGAAGAACTAGGGGAGGAATGTTCTATGCAGAAGGAACAAAAGAGCAAAGAAGTCTAAGGGAAGATTTTGGTGTATTCCTAGAACAGAATGCTAAGTTGGGAAATGGGAGCAATGAGAACAGAAAGAGGGCAGTAGGGGATAGGCAGGAGGGGTTGGCGGGCATTCTAAGCCATGGAGAGAGTTTGGATTCTACTCTGCTGCAGAAAGCGATTAGAGGCCTGATATGCAATTTTAGAAAATCACTGTTGGACTATTTGCGGTGCAAAGGATGGGGAGGCAAGAGTGGAATACCAAAAAGGTCCCAGAGAGAGTTGGACTAGGGGACAGCAGTATCAAGACAACCACAGAGATCAGAAAGCAACAGAGAGACGCCCAAGGATCAAGAAAGATTTTCATGGAGGAAATACATAAATTTTGCTCAGGGAGTCCAGGTATTGATTGCATCCATTCCTTCTGCTTGCCAATCAAAAAATGTAACAAATATTGAATTTGAAAATGCTCCCTATTTGTTTACTATAAGATAAGCATCTGGTTGAATTGAATGTAATACTGTTTTCAGAGACTTTAACAAAATCAGAAATGATTCAATTTATAGGACCTTTAGAATTAATGTGCTAAAATTGCGTTAGAGAAACTGTTAAATAAACCACGTCACAATTGACAACTTGCTTTCTCTCCTATGGATCACATTTCATTTGACAGTAAAGGGTTATAAAATTAAATGTAAGAATTAGAGATATATAATTAGGCTGCATACCATTGATAATAATAGCAGTGGCAACAACATTTGACTTTTTGGCCAGTCTCTTATGCTGTAATCACTCTTCCTTTTTTTTTTTCTGGAAATTTTTGCTATAGGGTATATGTGCTCTCCAGAAAGACAGAGAGAAAGAAAGTGAGAAATCACCCCCCATGGGGCAATGGCCACATTGAAATCCCTTCTCCTCCATTCTCTTGGGATTTGGGGCATGCAC